TAGCCATATATCAGTCATAATTATTTTTTTCGTCCAAATTATTATGAAGAGAAACCATTATTTGCTCCTAATAAGTAAAACAACTTAGATCGGATTCTGTTCCTTTTTCTTTTTAAACTACTTTTTTCCTGCATAAGTTACAATAACGTGAGGCCTCAGATAGTTGTTATCTTTTAATTCGACAAGGAATACAAGTACAGCGCCTTTTGCATTGAATTCAACAAGCAAATTGTACAAATCACAACGAAGGACCGGGCGAGGAGTTCAATCATCCAACCCATAGTGCTGCTTTTTGCATTGATGAGCGCTAAAGACAAAACAACTGCTCTCAACACACAGCAGACGGATATTTCTAAGAAAATTAAAATCATATACATCATAAGCGTATCAAGGGATATATACATTTTCAAAGTGTATATATCCCTTGACTAGTTTGTTTCTTTTTCTAGGCACTGTATAATGATTAGTATTTTGCCATTATAATAAAAGATTTAGAGAGAAGAAGACCTTTCTGTGTATTGAAACCAAACCAGGAACGAGGCATGTACATGCTTAAGAAAACATGATCTGTTTGAGTGGTTGGAAGACTAAAATGACTACAATTAGCTATTAGAGTTTTATGGTATTTTAATTTGTCGCAAGTGCACTGTATATAGGTATTTTTGTCATGCGCTTGCTACGTGATATGTTAGAGTTGATGGCGATCACTTTAGGGATTAAATGAAAAATTTGCGGTAGGATTTAGTAGAATAAAAAAGTTCGTAAGGTTATGTACAATAACCCTGGAACTTCAGGGGACTTTATGGAATAAAAAATTTTGGGGTTGGGTGGGTATTAGTACAACATCTCCCCAAAGTTTAAGGGTTTTTTTCCCAATATTAACCCTATGACACATTTTGCTTGCTAAAACTAAATGACATACATCGTATATGGTAAGGGTACGAAAAAATTATATGCTCATAATATATTGATATCTAGAGATGGGTTCATTCTACTTCAGATGCATATAAAATATGTTGATTTTGGGTCGGTTGCTGATATGGTCGAGTTTACTTTTAGGCAGGTTCTCATCTCACGTCATTCTCCGTGTTTTCGTGATGTGTTCTCTCTTGGCATACCTTAGTAAGAAATTGTTGGGCTCCTCAAATAGATGTGAACCATCTAAATTTGGTTTGGGTTTCAAAACGGACTATTTTCGCTTTGAGTTGGACCAAGCGTTCTCTTATTTTTGAGATAATAATTGGGCCAGGTTCATTACTATCAACAACAATGATCAGTCAGCCAAAATGAAAACCCAGATGTTGTGAACTTATTTGAGGTTGTTTTAGCAATATGACTCGTGAATTCACTAGGAAGATTAAAAATGGTTTTAGAGTATAAAAATACTTAATCCTTATCACAACCTCAAGTTTAAGTTTGTCCTTATAACATTATAAGTAGTAGATGAAAAAAAATGCACCATGAAAAGCTTTAGAGTTTGCATATAAAAAAGACACTCATTTTGCTATTTATATTAGTCAGTTTTTCATGACAACTTCAGAATTTTGGTGCAACTAGAAGAAGGTTTTCAATTTCATTTTTTTTAAATGTACATTAGCACAGTTTTTCAAATGAATATCCATCAGATTTGAATATGACTTGCTCTTAATACCATTTCATAGCTTATTTCGACCATATCAAACCTTTGAGTTATGTTCAGATTCCAACATTTAAAATCTAGAATCTACTCATTACTTTAATTCACAATCTATCAATCAAAAGTCATTCCCATGATTGATAGGATTAACTGTAGACGTTGTAAGCAGAGATTAACCAACTCCCCGGCCTTAATTAAGACTTCACACCTAACATCACAAAATCATAACAACTACAGACTTCCACGTCCTATTCCATCAACATTTTCTTTCCCCACCATTTATTTGAAATTACTAATCTGCCCCCTCATGACATGTGCGTCCCTTTGCCAATAAATAACACAACACCCCGCGGCTTCATCTCTTGCCCTCAACACCAACACAGCAATGGCGCTCCGAGTCCCTGCGCATCTTAGCCTCCTCCTTGCCCTCCTGCTATCCTGCGACTACGCTGCATCCGCCACCAAGTTCACCGTCGGCGATGCGAAGGCATGGAATCCCAATGTTAACTACACCAAATGGGTCAACAAGCACAAGCCTTTCTATGTTGGCGACTGGCTCGGTCAGTCATCGTGAACGCTCTTACCTTTTGCTAGGATACATATATGAATAAAAATATAAGTAATTATCAGAATCCATGCTACATTTGAATGCAGACATCCTACAACGATCAAATTGAGCTTAATCTGTGATCTACTTCGATAATTCAATCTTAGGTGTTGATATAAGCTGAACACATTGATAAACATTTATTTGAGCAACTTTTATCTTTATTCAAACAGTTCTGGTTATCAAATGAACTATACATACTTCAAATTCTTTTTTTTCTTCTTCCAGTGTTCTACTACACGAAGGGCATGGCGGACGTTGTGCGTGTGGACTCAGACGCGTACGAGAAATGCGACGCATCGCACCCCATCAGCAATTACAGCAAAGGCCGGAGCTATGCCTTCGAGCTCAACGAAACCAAGACATACTACTTCATCTGCAGCTATGGATACTGTTACCAGGGGATGAAGCTCTCCCTCAAGGCCGAGAAACTGCCACCGCCGTCTACTCCACCGTCGAAGAACTCCGTATCCAGCAGAGCTACGGGTGGAGTTCTGGCATTGGCGTTTGCTGCTTTGATTAGGTTCTTGTTTTTGTAGGTTTTTTTTTTTTTTTTTGAATTAATGTTTTTGCATGATTGAAAGTGAAGGGTTGTGTGACTAAAAGTCTGTTTTTAAGGAAGTAAGTAGGTTGTAAGCCTCTACATGATTCGTTTCTACCGAAAATTTCACAAATCTGTGAAGCAAACCGGTAACTCACCTGAGCATAAATGGAGCTAAACTGACTGAATTTTAACGGGCTGGTTTGTGTTCGAAAAAATCTCTAAAATCAATATTCTTCTCTTCTTGTTGGTCCACAAAATTCCTGCTCTCTTTCCTTCAATATATCATGTATCTGCATCGTTCTTGTTATTCCTTGATCCACTTGTTTCTCCCACCCATCCATTCGTCCATGTTTCTCAACCCATTTTCTTAGGTAGTTGGATCCAAATCCAAACCGAAACAACCGAACCGAACTTGACTTATTCGTTCAGCACCAGATATAGAACAATTAAGTTCTCTGTCCGACCATCGTCAAAATATACCTAATGTTTTCCAGGCAAAATACAATGCTCAATATCCATAAAAGATAAGGTGTACTCGATGGTCAATCCTAAGATTGTGGAATTTTTCTGTAACCGAGAAAGATTTTATGCTCCAAAATACGCTTCCTCTAAAGACAGAATGGGCTCCCCATTGATGACAACTCCTCGAGCTGAAATCACTTTACAGCTTTAAAATCACTTTGGGGTTGATCTGCCTCGAACTTAGAGATACTGTTGCAAGTCACAGTTAGAGAGGTACCTTGATGAACATGGGGCCATTGCTGAACTGGATCAACAACAAACAATTATTCATGGCTGAAAATAAATGCAAGGGTTTTCTAATATATTAGTCCCGTAAATCTGACCTATTTTGATGTTAGCCCCTCAAATAATCTTCATATTTTGATATTAGTCCCTCAAATTGCATTACTGTGCTGATTCTAGTCTTAAAATCTTTAGGGGAATGTTCAGTTATCTTTAACCCTTGCATTTATTGGATAGTTATGACCTTCATCAACCCAAACCCAATTGAAACAAACCCGTTAAGAGCCCCAAAACACATGCCCGTCCTTATTGGATCCAAACCCAAACCCACTACCAACCCGCAACCAAAGTCCCGATTCTCCCAAAGATATAGCGGGTTTCGCTGACGACCTTGGGTGAAGTTCGCCACCGAGATCTGTGACCTGAAAAGGCGATCAAGATGAGAGGTTGAAAGCCGATTCTCAACTTCCCCAACAATATTGACGCTAGTAAAGAGAGGAAACGTGCTCCGCCACCATTGTTGTCGCCGGCAGTGAAGAGGAAGGAGGAGACGGGGATAGGGGTTTGTCCGGAGGTATTCTAATAAATTATCATCCATGGTTAGGGTTAACCACACCATGATTTAGGTGTTCTAATAGAAGAACTAGAGACTAATATCAACAAACTAATGCAATTTGAGGGGCTAATATCAAAATATAAAGATTGAGGGACTAACATCAAAATAGGTCAGATTTAAGGGACAAATATCTACAAGCCCCCAGAATATAAACACAACAGGGGCAACAGTCATGAATACGTTTCTCCTAAAATCTCTGAAAGCTGCCATGATACACTAGTTTCCAGTACTAGACACACTGTCTGGGTCCAACACATCCGGAAAAGGCCAGCAGCCGGTATCTCCGACAAAAGTGACCATTTTAAAGCTTCCAACCTGCCTTCAACAAATTCACTCATTGCTGTCTCTTTTATGAAAGTTCTCCAGATAACTGGTCATGATTTCAATTTCCAGTTCGAAATAGATAAATGAAATAATCAAAGGATTTCTCTTGCATACTAAAAGGTCTTAGATTTAATTTTCATCGAAAAACAAACATTCCATTAGGAAAAGAATAAACAAAATTTCTAATTTCAATGATCCGGATGTAGTATCAATTAAAAAAAAAAAGCAACCCCAGTTTTCTGTATAAAACCTTTGCACAATAATTATCAAAACAATTTGGCAACTTTCAGTTTAATACTGTGAATCGTTCAGTAAGCTCATTTCTAATTCTGTATACAAATTCAGTTTAATACTGCGAATTGTTCAGTAAACTCGTTTCTAATTTTCTGTTTGTATACATGGGTCTACAAAGAGCAACAACAATTATTTCCTTAATAAAATAAAAGGGGAAAAAGAGACACTGGAAGAAAATTAGAGCCCAGTGCTGGATATGATGGAAAACAAGTGTATGTCAGAACACCTTGAATAATTCAGAAGAAATATGTTTGATCCTCATTAATGTAGGAAAAAAAGGTCTTCAAGACTTTGGATAAGAGGTGTGAAGATTTCTATTTCTATGTAAATCAGCATAGAGATCATTAGGAAATGAAAGCTTACCTGAAATCATGATCACTTCAGGCACAAAGCACGTGATGATGCAAAAGAGAGTTCAAAGACTGAGCAAAGAATAGAGGATTTACAAACTAGGACCATAATAAGAACCCTCCATCTAAGTTGCGTTGAAATCATCAGGAATGAGTAAAAAAAATGTGAAACTTCGGGATCAAAGCATGTAGAGATAAAAAAACTGAGGCATTTCCAGAATACAAGTTCGGATGAGATTATTGGCACAATAAGAAGTTTAAGAGCACCAAGCTTAGAAGAATCAAGCTCAGAAGAATCATGGCGAAACTTATTACCAACCATGGCTGATGAAGTTGGCCATAAATGTTCTCAAGAAGGGTTGAGGATTTCATACATCGAAATAATGTTTTCGATGGTCAACAGGATAATAACACCCCATTCCAAGAGATCGGATCTTCTGTTTTGGAGCACTTCTTGAAGGAAATGAATGTTATGCTGCAAATACAAATACACGTATTAAGAAAATAATGAAAAAAAATAACACCACCAAGTAACCAACAAACACACACATAACTAAGTGTCTATTAACAAAATCTGCATTTGAAACTATAACTATAGAGGATTTGAATTAGCAAACTTCAAAATGTTGCAAGAAAACTTTAGCATACAGAAAAGTGTGAGGAAATGCCAATATAGAAGTAGAAGAGGACGAATAAAGATGTACCTCCACAAATTTTAACTTGAAGTCCAGGCTTCCAAAGCGTTGTGTGAGTTCATATTCTTCACGTAGATACTCCAATATCTGGGCATAGTTAGCATTCCTCCATGCAATTTCAGATCTGTTCGTAAGGAAAAGAGCGAGAATGGCCACCAGTTAGTTTGTTGGCTATATTACAAACAGATCTCCACTAATACAGGAGAAAGGTTTCATAGCAACTGGAAAATCACTGTTCTTAGAGTGCATCAATTTTGGTTCATGTATGTGTTGGGATAAGCTTTGGCATATAAAACATTTGGGTTAAACAAGTTAATAAAGCATAACTGCGCTCGATGGCATATGCAACAAAACAACAGCCTGAGGTAAATCATATTTGAGACTTCAAGTATAAAAATAAAAGCACACACATATTCAACCAAGGAATCAAATTATAGCTAAAAACGACTGAGAGGTAAACAAATTATAGGATAGCTATGTTGTATAATTAAGATGAATGCGATCCATAAGAGATCATAAGGGGTCACTCTAATGTTAGGACCTGCAAGGCAATGATGATCATACTAGTCAAGGAGATGTCATGTTTAATAGTGAATGATAGCCTCTCAGAAATCATTTTGCACGCAACAGTTCAAGGAGAGGGGAACTTTAAGAAACTGAACTAAATTTTCTCTAATAAATATAAAACAACAACTTTTAAATAAACGGGAAAGAAAAAATTGATCTAATCAAACTAGATAAAACAATTCAGGGAAAAATAATATCTACATTGGCACCATTTCACAAATATAGAGGAAGTAGTATTTATCAGTTTACTGTCTCAGCCAAAATTGGTAAGAGCACAAATTCTACTTGGATAAACTTTCCTTCACTTCTCAACAAAAATGTTGGACTAATATAATCATTCCAAAAATCTCTATACTAAATGCTTATAGGTCTATAACATACCTATCAAAAAGTCCAAGTTTTATGATTACATCAGCAAGATTTGAGTTGGCCTTTCCCACAAGTTGGAATAACTTCTTCCTTTGCATGGTAAAAGTCCCCGTCTTCTCCATACCACGATTTATGTCGGTAAATTCTTCAACAATATCATCGACCTATGAGGAGAATAAAGCAGCTATAACATCATCATTGTAGTAGCCTAAGTAATTAGATCTTCAAATTTTAATTAATGAAAAATTTTCTTCAATAAAGATTAGGGGAAACTAATTAAGGGATTTCTTTGGATTTCACCTATGTAGCACGGACACGGATCCGACAAGGCCATCCGACAATCCGACACGAGGCAAATCCTAAAAAATACATAGGATACGTGTGTCCAACACATGCGTCTGGCACATACACGACACGACACGGCTTCACGTTATGCGTGTCCGTGCTTCATAGGATCTCACCACTAGCTCTTGATAAACTGCCAAGTGGTGTTTTAATGGCTAAAAGTCATTTGATAATTTGGGCGGCACCTCCTCAACAGAAGAATAAAACGGAAAAAAATCCTCTCATCCTCAACTTTTGTAGGAGATAGAGAGAGCTCGTGGCGGGAGAAAGAAAGACCAAGGCAATAAATCAGTACCCCAATCATTAAGGTATAACCCATTTTTATTTTGCATAGTAAATTCTCATAATTTGAATCAAAATAGAATGAGTGAGGATGTTATGATAATGAAGCTAAGAACTAGGATTGCAAAAGAGAATTACTATATGTTTAAGATTTATGTGAATGACTGGAAAAAAAAGAAGAAAAGAAAAACTAACCCTAGATCCGAGGAAGATCACGCTCCAGCCACCCTTATCATCGGCGATTCCCTACCACCATGGCACGTGCGCGCGAGAGAGAGAGAGAGAGAGAGAGAGAGAAGAGGAGGAGAAGGGGATCGGTTGAGGAAGAAGATATAGAGGAGAGAGAGAGGAAATTAGAATAAAATAACACAATTTCTTTGGGACCCCTGAAAGTTTTTGAGTTTGTAAATAGGTCCAGAATATATAAGAAACGAAAAATTTTGCTTAAACCCTGTTGCGTTGTTAATTTGCCAAGAGGCCCGAGCATAGAGTTAAACCATGAATATGCAAGGATATTTCAATAGGGACCACTGTCATTCTCTCTATTTGCAAATAAGTCCAATCTGAAGAATAAAAGACAACTTTTAGGTCTAATTAATTCCCTATAACCCCCTGTCTTATCATAAATTATTAGGAAGTCCAAAAGCTAGTATAGGAGAGTTATAAAATTTTGATAAATTGCTAAAGTTGGCAATAAATTCATATGTACCCTAGTTATAGATTTTAATTATTATTGATTATATTTGAACTTATTTGGCTCTAGATTATGAATTGATTAACTTATAATATATGTTGCCATGAATTAATATTAGCTTTATATATTCACATTTTAGGTTCTGGTTGATATTCAAAAGAACAATATTTTGAGGAAGTCGTGACCAATAGAGGCGAGCTCATTTCTCACTAGTATTTTATAATATGAAATTACATGAGTGTTATGTTTGATTGATCATGTGATCGAAAACTAAATAACATAACATTTTCGTGTATATAAGTTAAAGGTGGTTTGATCTACTTCTGTTGTGGCCTAAGCCATAATACAATGTTGATTTCGTACAAGATATGATAAACAAATTAATTTGATTTTTATATAAAATATAAAAAGTGAATTTGGTTCTCATGCGATTTCAAATAATTGTAGATATTGATTTATTTGAAAGCTTTTGAAGAAAAGAAGTATTTTGAACGTATTTCGATAGTTTAATGGATTCAAGGATTTTTGTGACTTAGCATCTGATAAAAATAGAGAAAAGTAAAATTCGTAAACTGTTTTAATTAAGATGATGAGTTTAGACTCATCCACTTGATTTAAAAATTGTTTAGCAAATTCTGATAAAGGATGTGTTTCCGATTTGACAAGTGGATTTTTTAAACCCTCAGAAAGTCCACTATGAAGTATTTTGTCTGTCATATGGTGAATGCACCTTTGTTGGCCCTTCTGTGTCCGGCCCTTCTGTATTTGGCCCTTTTACATTTGACCCTTCTGAAATTTATTCTGGCCCTTCTGTATTTGGCCAGCAACCTATGGCAATGTTAGGTGCATTCGATTCCGAAAATTATCTATTGAGTAATGCGTTTTACACATTCCCATGCTACGGGGTTATAATTCGTAGCCTTGGTGTGACCTATGAGGTGATTTTTCCATTCACGAATGACTCATCGAGATTTAAGATTCTGACAATAGAGAAAATAACAACCCTTTGGTTTTGCGCAAATTTAATAGTCCATTTCTTTCTTAGTATTTACCTTGTTTTAAAAATGGGTTTGATTTTGGAATATATTACAGTATATTTAGTTTGCAAATAAGAAAGAAACATAAACTGTTGCATTTTTCCATAAAAATAACAATAGTATGTTGTTTGGAACGTACCTTGCTATTTTTGAAATTGTGGTGCAAAACTTATAATTCCCTATGGTCATGTTAGATGCATTCGATTCAAGGAAATTATCTATTATGTGATGCGTTTTACGCATTCCTATGCTACTAGGCTATAATTCATAGACTTAGTGTGACCTATAAGGTGATTTTCACATTCACGAATGACTCATCGAGATTTAAGATTCTGACAATAGAGAAAATAACAACCCTTTGGTTTTGCGCAAATTTAATAGTCCATTTCTTTCTTAGTATTTACCTTGTTTTAAAAATGGGTTTGATTTTGGAATATATTACAGTATATTTAGTTTGCAAATAAGAAAGAAACATAAACTGTTGCATTTTTCCATAAAAATAACAATAGTATGTTGTTTGGAACGTACCTTGCTATTTTTGAAATTGTGGTGCAAAACTTATAATTCATTATTTCTGGGAATTATTATTATTGTTATTATTTTGTTAGTTATCTAGGAACTCTAGTGAGGAATGTTCTCACAAAGCCCTAACTCACCCTGTTGTTTTTTTTTAATTTTTCAGATCTCGCCTAGCTATATTATAAGCTGAACTTTGGGTTGTGACACATCGCTAGGAAGCGTTACATGGGAAAACCTCCTCTTTGGTGGTTTCATACAATCAACAATATGCTTTATTTTGTGAAAAGCTTGTAACGGTGAGCTTGTGGGTTGTAAGTACTAATTATATATGTAGTGGCTCTGAACTTCTATCATCAGAAAGTTTATATATGTTTTGAGATAAGCTCTGTGATATGAAGTGTCAGGCTTGACTCATGTTCGGGACTTATCTCATACATTAGTCACTGCTGTCACGTAAACCGTATTTATGAATTTTCGCTGCAAATTCGAGGCGTGACAATCATTAGATGTTCATCTCTCTTACTTTGCAAGTCACTTTCTAAGTTCACACTTAAGCAAGCATCAAAGATACTGCGTACTCCAATGCAGAGAATTTACACAGTAAGTAGAACACAAAATTTTATGTAAGATAATACCTGTCTTATATAATGATCAAGGGCAATACTTTGGCCAAGTACACTACCAATGATGCGTATGCCATCTATATCCAAATTCTTGAGAACAATATAGTCAGCGCCTCCTTGCATCCATGTCATCAACATGGGCTTTTCAACTACAGCATAATCTATCCATGAAAGAAACATCAAGTCAGGGTTAATATTAAACGTTAACTGAAAATACCAAATCATGTCAACATAAAAGGAATAATGAAGACAGAAATAATTGAAATGTCAGAATTTGTGCAACAGGAAGAAGTATCAAGGACACAGGTTCTCTTAAACTGGATATCCAGACAGTTATTATGGGGAATGACTCTAATTTTACCGTCAGGCAACTCATAATCTCAACGGGCCAAATACCCTGAAAGTTTCAACTCTTTTGACATAATCCTAGATATCCCCATTCAGTTATTAGTCAAGTATTTCCCTTGCCTTGGGTCTTCTCCTTACATTATCCCAAGTAAATATTAGTCTCATCCTATCAACATTTAGTGTGAATCCGTGATATCAGCTCTTTCTACTTTCTCAACCTGTTTTTTCAGCAAAAGCAATAGTATATACCCTTTATTCTAATCTTTTTGATCTTGCTACATGAATTACTTCTCTAAATTCAATTTCTTCCACTCATTTTTCTCACCCTTGTGGTTATTAGCAAAAATCTCTCTTTTAATTGTTGCTGAGCAAAGCATGTGAAGAAAATGATTAAATGTCAATCAGTTCATTTACTGAATACTTAGTCACCTTTCAAATCTGCCAAAATCTAGAAAAGAGGAATTAAGATATGTAAATAGCAGATATTATGACCATGAAGCAAGCATCATATGAAAAAAAATCAGCCATTCATTAGTATCGAATTTTTCATATCAAACTCATGAAAAAGCCTATCAATTCATATACTTAAAAAAAAAGCTCACCATCCTTTCTCATCTCTGGAAGCAATCCAGAAGCATGCTTTCTAACTACATCAAGATACTCTTCAGCTTCATGATCTGCAATGTTAAATAATACTGCAGAACCATACTGGAATACCACCACATAGCGAGAAGAGTCTCTTTTATCCTTGAGTCCTATATCCTAAAACCAAATACAAAGAAGGCTGTTAACAATCTAACAAAATCAGCTGATATCGCTGCCAGATACATAATTCTGCAGAAACTTAGCATCAGTAACGTATTCGAATTGTCAACGTAAATATAGCCAATCTCAAAATTTTCTAGTGTGAGAAAGCACAAAATTAGAAAGAAAATCGACTTTAAGTTCAGTATGTACAAGGCTCCTTGACAACAAAAATATCATGTTAGGAAAGTGAAGAGGATAGAGGTGAATACCCTTTTTATTTTAGACCTAGTTTGGTAGGAGGGGAGGTAGAGTAAGGTAAGAGAATTTTTAGAATCCTCTTTACTAGGAGGTATTTTGAAGGGAATGTAAAGTATTGTAAGGTAAGAAGAGAGTAAGCGAAAAATGAATTGGATGTTAAGAGAGAAATATCCCTCCAGATCAAAGAGACACGGAAGGATTGAGGACATTCATGCTACAACTACACATTTATCCTTCCAAAAAAATATTTCATAATTATCTAAGTAAATATATTATCTTATCAAAACGCTAACTTATCTCTCTCTCTTCTCTTCACCGTTCTCAGAAAAAAAGAAAAGAAAAAGCGGCTATAAAAAATCACAAGAATGTAGCGATCGAGTTTTTTCATCCAAAGATCATTTTTTTCTATTCTAATTTTTTGCTTCCAATCATCTATGAAACAAAGCCGGCCACCTCTCTCCCTCCATTCCCCTTTCTCAAGTGATTTCTTCTTTAGATAGTTGCTTCATAAATAAATGGCTCTTTAATATTAAATGTTATCAAAAGAAGCTTTATAATTAGTTTTATACATGTCCTAGAAATTTGATATGGGTTTTAGTATGACAATCATACTACATTTTTTCAACTTCATACTATGAACCAACATTAGACGAGTTAGGGTGTGGCTCTGAGTAAATTTATTTTGATACCTTGTAATTAAGGGATAATAATAAGAGAATTTCTTTTCTCTAAAGAATTTTATTGGATTTCAAGACTTACCTTGTAGTAATCGATCTATTTCTTTCAAAGTGTTAGTTAATTGTCTTTCTTAAATCAAAATTTTCATTCGCATATAATTGATTTATTAATTTGAGGTCTAATTTCATTATTCTATCATACAAATTGCAGGTTAGATGAAGTTGAAAAAAAACTCTTACCAAAGAGCACTACCTTTGATTTTTTTTAATTGCATCAAGTTGGACTATGATTGACCATGTTAGAATTTTTGGGAGAGAATTAGTTGCGTGAGTTCGTTTTGTTTTATTAGAGTTAATGTCCTAATTATAATTGTTCATATTGGTTTACTTTTGTTTATGTTATATTATTTTTAGATGGATAATGATGTTCATATGCATGATATTGTTGGTGATGAATCAGTTGAGTGGTATCAAAGGCGGAGAATGGCTATTGTTGAAGCTATTTCCTACATAATATGTTATATTAGTCAATGCAATTCTAAGAATTTATGACTAGAACCGGCAATTAAAGATGTTGAAAGTGAAGTCTTTCCGAGATTAATGTTTCCAGATTATCTAATGAAATACATTACCAAGAGTTATATGCTTTGTCGCGCATTTACATGAATGAGTAAAGAAGCTTTCAAAAATTTATGCGATATACTTCATAGAGATGGTCAAGTAGGTGATACAAAAAATGTAACATTTGAAGAGCAAGTTGCTAGGTTTTTATATACAAGGTTTTAAATACTGAATATCAGGAAAATATCAGATGACCAAAATTCATATCAGATTGCAGATATCGGGGAAATATCCGGGATATGAGGTAAATATCGAAATGTCATAATGGATGCATATATAGTAATGCACTAAAATGTAATATCAATATACTTAATGATATCTAAGCATACAAAATGTAAATAATATATGTTCAAGATTATTAATCAGCCTTGTAATACAAATAAAAGAACAAATCAATGCCGCAATCAACACGACAACATTTGGCTGATTTTTTAGGTCAAAATGTCATTTGACGTAATGGAAGAATCATGATATCTCGTCCAAAATTGGTAAGAGCAGTATATTATTTTGTGACAAACTATATAAAAAGATATATCGACCAATATATCAATATATCGACTGATATATCAGCCATATTAGTGACATTCGCTTAAAATAGATAAAAAGCGGTAAATGATATTTAGAGACCATATCGGCTACGAAAAGCTCTATAAAAGGATACATCGGGCCATGTTGGGATATTTAAAACAATGCTTATATATGATAGGAAGTGGTACTCATAATTTTGCCTTGCAAGTCTTTGTTTGTCGTTTGGGAGAGTCTGTAAGTCGATAATTTCACCAAGTTACAAGAGCAATGATCTACTTGGAAGATCAATTCCTCGTACAACTAGATGGAACATAAGTCCCTTTTGAGATACACAACAGTAATAGGTTTTTTCCATACTTCAAGGTACTTATACATAATAATTAGGTTCAAGTTTTTGCTAAAGAATTGAGCTAACGTATAAAACTTATATTGGAACATTGTATCTGGATTGTACATGGGCTATTGATGGAACCCACATTTGAGTAAAAGTTCCTTATAAAGAAGCTCAAAGATACCGTGGTAGAAAAGATTGTCCTACACAAAATATTTTGGTAGCTTGTATATTTGACTTAAAATTTACGTATGTGTTACCGAGGTGGGAAAGGACTACGTCTGAATCAAGAATAATTAATAATGCATTAAGTCGGAAAGCCAATTTGAAAATTCCTCAAGGTACTCTAACTATCTATTTGATTCATTGAAATTGACTAAATCTTAATTTCCTAAAATAATATGAATTGTTAAAACTTTATCACCTTATATAAATATTATATTGTCAACGCTGGTTTCATCCTTGGGAGTGGACTTCTTGTGCCTTGTCAAGGTGTACATTAACATTTGAGAGCATATTCTGCACGTGCTCCTAAAAATTCTAGAGAATTATTTAACGTGCGCCATGCTTCTCTTCGGAATGTAATTGAAAGAAGTTTTGGTGCATTGAAAAAGAGGTTTCCTATTCTAGGATGTATAAAGCCAAATTACGATATTGAAACACAAACAGACATTATCACAACTTGTTGCATCCTACAATTATTTGATAGGGATTAACTCGGATAAAGAACTTATTAATGAACTGGACTGTGATCTCGATGATGCACCTTTACCAACTGAAGTATATAATTTTCAAGAGCGTAATGATGAAGATTCTAGGAGAGCTTTTTTTAAGAGATAATATTGCAAGTGTTATGTGGGGGGGCTATTTACATACTCATCACTGAGCAAATTATTGCTCGAGTCTGTTCTAGTTGTGTCAAGTAGCATATTTATCATTGCCTTTTCGTATGTATGTCGTAATAAATTTTCCATAAATTCTATATTTTTTCCAATTCATAACAAGCACCACTTTATGTTTGTTGTAATCAACTTTTTAATTTGTTTATTATCACCTAACGCCTACCTACTAATTGCAAACTTTGATTTTTTAGCTAGAAGCTTCATGCTAAATTCAAATCTATGTTGTTGCAAGTCAGTTGCAATCAATTTTACACTTATCAATGATTTTGATAGTTTGGTCACAATAAGTATTACATAAAATAACTTATAGTTATAGTCCACTTCCAAGATTTCTATGACTTGGTTTATAGTATGTTTTTTGTACTATCTTGTTTCATTGATCACTTTCATAGCTCAGCTTCATTTACGTGAGTTTTTTTTGTTTCTAATAATGAATTATATCATGTATGCAATCTAATATTTTATTTTTATACTTGTAAGTTGATAAAACTTTTAGCATTGATGAATAATTTTCGAAGTGCAATGTTTTAAGTTTGATACGGACGAAAAAGAAGGCAAATCATCAAAGGAACGTGTCAAGTCATGTAACATATCGTGGAATAATCACATGGATTAATTTTTCATTGATGCTTTGTTGAACCAACAAGATGGAGGAAATAGAATTGGTGACCAATTTATGACTACTGCATAAAACAAAATCGTGAAGGATGGGAATGAGAAGTCGGGTAGAAACTTTTCCAAAGACCAAATAAAAAACAAAATAAGAACTATCAAGAGGAATTTTAATGAAATTTATGACAATGTGGAGGTAGTGGATTTGCATGGAATGAAAAGATAAAAATGTGGGATGCAAAAGAAGTGTGGTGATCACTTATTGAGGTAATGTTTAATATATTGTCTTGATTTAGTTCATTAACAAGCACGTGTCTAACTTCCATTTTATGTTTCTATATTATTTTAGGCAAATCCTGCAGCCAAGAAACGGAAGGGCACTCCTTTGCGCTATTAGAAACGGAAGGGCACTCCTTTGCGCTATTATAATAAGTTGTCTGCATTGTACGCACGAGATATGGATACTAAAGCCAGGGCAAAAACAGCGAAAGAGAGGAGAGAAGAATTCAAGAGGAATGTTGCAAATGAAGAACCTCATATACATGAGGAGAACCCACCAGATGGTTTACCTTAGTATGAAGATCTTAGTACTACACTTGGAAAATATCATGATGTGATAATTGATTACTAATGCTAACCGCCCGCAATCGCATCATACATCGCTCCTTGAAGAGAACTTTGCAACCAGGTCGGGAAAATCAACTTCGAAAACAAAGAAGAGGAAGGCAGAAGATCATGGAGATTTGGAGATTGCTATTCGACTAGGTGATCTCACCAAGGCAGTAGGGAAGGGAACGAAGTGATGGAAAGCAGAAATGTAATATTGGAGCAAAGTAGGTCTCATGTGTACTCAGAAGATGATATTTACAGTGACGTGCAACGTCTAGATCTTAATAAATTAAATACAATCTTATAAATATGATTTTAGAAAATATTTTTACAAAAGAGTACTATTGCACTTTAACTAATTCATTTCCTCACCTCCCCTTCCTATCCCCTCCCTCCACCAAACAAGAAAAAGTCATATACCTCCCCTTACCCTCCCTCATACTTTCTTTCTTTCTTTTATTTCTTTTCCCTTTTGCT